AACTTTCTTGTTTGGTCTGAGGAAGATTTAGATGGTTTACTGTGGGGTTTGGTGGAGTTTTGTGGAGTGAAAAAAAAAGTTTTGGATTTGAACTCAAAATTAGGGTTTGACAGTGGGTTTCAATGGCTAAGGATGGTGGGATTAAATTCAGAGAGGTCAAGAAATGCTTTGTGAGCAATTTTAAAGGATCTCCCTAGACAATTGGCATCACTCTCTTCATGTCCATGAGATGGGTGTTTTAAATAGAGGAGGAAGGGGTGGCCAATTAGACTAGCCAGTGGGTGCAAGGTGGAGCTTACGTGAAGGGTTGAACGACGCAAGTGACCAATGAGAATGGAACAAATTGGATGGGTGCAAATTTGATTTGTTCCTTGGGGTGCCTTCTCAGTTTTGGGTTTTCCAGCCACTAGGCTGACTAGCCAGGCTAGGGGAGGTGGCTTGCTAGGTCACGGAACCAAGGAGGAGGTTTAATTGTGATTAGGATGGAGGTTTAATCAAGTAGCTTAGGTCATTTGGCCAAAAATAGGATGAAATCCCTTAAATCATGGGACCCTTGGTCCATCACACTCCTAGGGTGGGCTAATAAGAACTAGGCTGATTCTTAAGGTCCAAATGTTAGTTGTGGTGGTCTAAGCTGGGTTGAACCAAGTGACTCCAAGTGGGTTTAGGACTTGGGTTCAATTTTTGGGATTTGGCTTGGACTTGAGTTTGGGTTGGACTAGAGCTTGTATTTTGCCTAATTTAATAGTCAATTTGGTTTAAAAAAATTTCATGAGACATTTGGAAATCAATCGGGTTGAAGATTGAGGGGCTATGAGGTTCAATTTGGAGGAATTTGAAGTTTGGAACAAAATTTGGGGTTTTGAGTTGAGTTGGATTTGGGCTAGGCTTGAGGCTACTTCAAGGCCAATTGAAGGTTTAATTTGTTCTAGAGCAATGTTACGAGGATATTAGAATTCAAAATTGGGGGAATTTAATAGGCTAGAGGCTTTAATTAGCTCACAGTCAAATTGGGGGTTTAAATTGGGCTTGGAATTTGAGTTTGAAATTCGGTTCAATTTAGCTTGGATTTAGTTGAAAATTGTCTTATACATGATGAAATTGAGTTTAGATTTAAAATTGGGGAAATTTGAAATCAATTTGGTGGAAATTGGGGGTGATTTAGAGACTTTAGACACTTAGGGACTTAGCGGTAAAATTGGGATTTTGTTCAAAATTGGTCAATTTGTTCAAATTGGGTCCAATGGGTGGCTAGAATTGGTTTTGGGGATGTTTGGAATGTTTGGGAGGTTTTGGGAAAATTTTTGACACAAAGGGCATTTTGGTAATTTTGGCAATTTTGGGGGTATTTTGAGAATTTTGAAAATTTTGAGGTGTTTTGTGCAATTTGAGTGGTTTAAAAGGGTTTAAATAATTTTTGGGTAAAATTGGGTAATTTAGGAAATTTTGAGAATTTTAGGGTGTTTTCAAGGATAATTTGGTAATTTTGGGAAATTTTGGGGTCAAAAGGCGGAATTGGGTATTTGGGTAGAATGAGATCAATTGAGGATGCTAACCATAAAAATTACCCTTATGGTGCCATGAGACCAAGGGAGCTCCCATATTGGATCCTCCATATGTTGGTATTAGCCAAACCTTAGCCTAGGGCTAAGGTTTGGGGGATCATCCACATGAGTCTCTAAAAGATTAGGGAAGCAGAATAAGGATGTTTGGTTAAGGTTTAGGGGTTCAAGTGTGTGTGTGCAAAACTGACTAAGACCACATCACCCAAGACAACTCCTAAGGCCAAGCAGTCCTCTGGGGTTCTTGAGCTCCCCATATTGGCTCCACCTACTAAGTGCTAGAGGTTAGAACCAACATGTGGAACTTCAAGAGAGTAAAGAGGCATTTGAAATTTTTAATGGTGAGGACTCCCTTACTAGTCCTCCAGAAATAGTCAATAGGAAAAATCTCATGGCTAGATCCTAGGCTTCTAAAGAGGAAAGACTAGACCTCAACAAAAAGTGAGGTCAGCGGTTAATCTAAAGGGAGAGTCGTAAGTTTTTTTTTTTTATATTATAATAAGTTCAATGATATTTCCAATATTTCTATAGCTAATACTTTTATTGTAGTTTTATCCCTTCAAGTTACCCCACTCACATCTCGTAGATCATCAAGAGTAGGTATGATTCTATGTATCTATTCTGGAAGTAGATCCTAATCGTGACTCAAGGCATATGGTTCAAAGAGTTTGAGATAGGATCATTTCATTTGAACTTGAATCATAATTTAAAGTTATTTTGTTATACTAATAAGTATTATATAATTTTTAATTTGTAGAGAACTTTCCACTGGTCGTGGATACATTACCAACTGATTCACCAAAATTTTCAGGTTTAAGGTAGGCATCAACTAGGTGATATGTTCACTATAGCTTATAGGAAAGGGGAGCAGCCCATTTCGGCCGAAGAGGAGGTTTAGGCTCAGTTAACCAGTGTCTAGGATTCTTTTGATTATGAGAGGAAGAGGGCAAGCAACCAACTGATCAATAGAGCATAGGGGGCCAAGGGCGCCAAACTCCGCATTATATGCCCGACCTCTCACACGGAGCACTACCAAAAGCTTGTAAGATTTGTTAAAAACTTGATAATTTTTTAATGTAATTTTATGATATTTAAAATTTTTTTTCATGTCCATAGGCTTAGGAGCTTGATCGAGCACCCAACATTACAGAGTTGTATTTCTTTTGGCATGTCAGTGTAATTAAAAAAGTGTTTTTCTACATTTTTTACACTATTATTATAAAATTTCAGGTAATCATTAGTTCTAATTATGTTAGAATACTAGCACATCTGAGACATCTAGAGGCAAAGGGAGAGCTAGATCATGATAGCCGCCAGCAGCGGTGGAAGCCCTTCTACCATTTTGCAATCTAATTTTTATATTTAAAGACGAACAACATGGAAAAAGAAGGGGAGGGTGTGTGTCTTGGGTGAGAAGGGAGAATTGCATTTGAGACCGAGCTCTCTTGTGCTCCTTTGGTTGGTTTTAGGTCATTATTATCTGAGCATGAGGAACTTTCCAGGTGCATTACTGCTTTGAATTGCGAGATCTTGTTGTCACGTGAGAGAGTATAAAGTCAACGATAATTTAGCATGGCTGATGGAACATACTGTAGATTGTCGTGGCAAGCGACCTCTGAGTTCTGTGGTTTAGTATAAAGGAGAGGAAGGGGGGTGAAGATGAGCCGTAGGGGTTTATGTATATTTTTTTTAATTGTGTATGTGGGCATATTATTATTTGTATATGGATTTTTTGTGTTTTGATGTGATCTTTTTGCACATTTAGCATAATCTTTGTTAAATTATATTAGTTTTCATTGTCAATACTTATAATTTATGCAATAGATGTGCTAGTGGATAAGTAAATATTTATGAGATTGGTATTCATTGTATGCAAGTTATAAAAAGCTAATTGTTATTTAATACTTTTTTAAGTTTATTACAGATTTTCGTTGGCTCTGTATTGAACAATTCTGATGCTAATACCTTCAATAATTACTAACGTAATTTGATACATTGTAACGCTAAACAACATCATCCGTAGATATTGTCGATGCAAAAGAAAACAAAAATTTTTGTCAGGCAAAAGTGGACGCAAATTAAGTAGTTAACATTTCTGTCAGCGTGGGGCGTGATGAAGCTCGTTAACGTCAATCGTGCTTGACTCTAAAGTTGATGCAAGTTATTTATGTCAACACTTTTGATGCTAATTGTATTCCCCAATTTTTGCGTGGACCATATGTCCGACATCGGATTATTGCGACATTAGCGTCGCAATTAAGTGATTCTAATATGCACAAATCTGGTAGCGCCCCCCCCCCCCCCAAC